CAGCTCCAATTCCATTTTCATAACAATAACCAACAATTGACATTCCGATTGCATTACCCATTTCTGTTGATTTTTGATAATAAATGAACGCTTTATGTTCATTCTTTTCAACCCATTTACCAAAACGATAACAACTTCCAAGAATTATTTGAATCATAGGAGTAATTTGATCATTCAAACAATAATTGATAATATTTTCTGAATTTTGTTTTTTTTTTTCTAGAAATTGATCAAATATGGTAAGAATTGCTTTAGGATCTTTACCATTCAATCTTTCTTTTTCATAAAGATTACATAATTCATTAACAATTTCGTTAAGAAAATTCCGTGAATTATTATTATTTGAGGAAATATCATTTTTTTCTATCTGCTCTACAAATTGTTTCATATAAAACTTTTCTATGCTTTCTTTATCTGACATTGACATTTTGATGACAAGAATATATGCGTAATGCATTAAAAAATACAGCACTGTCATTTTAATTTACTTTGTTTGTTACACAAAATGTACACTATTACATAATCAGGAACTTGTAATGCCATGTTTATCTTTAACTTTTCAAAGAACTTTGTCTCGCTTGAGTGCAAACAAGATTCAGAAACTTGAGAGGTTCAATATAAACAACGCAGGAAATATAATGCAGAATTCAGTTATGCCAAAATATGGACAGGACAATATATATACTTTTTTTATTAGACATAAGGCATCCAAATCCAACATGTGAGCTTACTGTTCCGAAATATTCCGAACAGAAAGGGCAAGGCTAAGGTCAAAATTGGGTAAAATTGCAATATCAAGTCCAAATAAAATTTTTATCGAACATAGTCCAAATGCCAAATGGAATTTAGTATAAAGTAAGATTGGATACTTTTTGTTATTTTGTACTATATCCTTTAAAAAAATTTTTATAAAATTGAAAGCTAGAAAACTTTTCAAAATCTTAAAAAATTTAATTATTGCTATATTTTATATACCTTCGTTACTTAAACCTGGTAAAAAATTTTGGCCTTGCTGATAATTTTAAATAATATACCTTTATAATTTTACAATACTATAATGTTATAAAAATTACAAAAAAAATTAAAAGCAAGTTATTTTATTATAAATATGTTAATATTACCAACTTACCTTTTGCATGATCATGACAAGACAAACAACAAAATTGTAATAAAAAATAAGGAGGTCAATTTCAACTTTTACTTAAACTTATTCTTCAATTGGCAGCCTCCATTCCATAAAACAAAGTCTCCTATATTCTTCTTGATTAGGTGATTTCAAGTCCCTATTTTAATATTTAGTATTAAAGACAACTTACGTGATTTATAAATTAATTGCAATAATAATAATAATAAACTTAAAAAGATACGGATTAGAAATATATTTTAACAGATTTTCAAGAGCCTCAGATTGTTTAATTGCAATCTTCATATTACTCATTTTTAAATAATTCATAAAATTTTCATCTTGATTCATTTCATTAAATTCCACTATTTCATTAACATCTATAGGTTCGCCAGAAGATGAAGATTTTATTTCATTAAATTTTTTGTTAACATCGAAGAGAAAGTCAACAATTGGAGGATTATGCTCCCGTAAATTACGGCAAATTAAGTATCTATAGAAAAAATTAACATTTGAATAAAATACGATAAAGTGTAACTTTGATATGTAAACTAACCTTTCGGAATTTGCAGGACGACTTGATAGAGGTTTAATAATACATATTTTTTCGAAATGGCGATATAAAATCCACACCATCCCAGCAGT